AGTATCGACCTATTTTCCCCTTTCAGGTCCGCAGACTATATTCTTCTGGGCACCGGCTTTTAAATGGGTCAGTAATATTAAAATTCTAACGTTCCGTTAAATGTTTTCTACTACTACATTCTCAGTTCTAAAATCGGAATAGTTCTCGGATTATTCACGGGTGAAGCGGATCAATGGATGCATGTTAAGATTTTCCTCTGCTGCATGTTCGATATATTTTGCGAATCAATTTTGTTTCAAGGCGGATAATGCGCGGGCTTTACGTTGGTCGCCAATAAACACGTTACAGAAATATTTCTCGTGACACGAGGTAGTCAGTCGTATTCACATGCAATGGACTCGATCCAAGTGCGACGATGACACGTGCGGTCGTAGATATTGAGTCGACCGTCATCGTATGACCTTCGATAATTTCGTAACAATCTGGTTTTCTTCCGTAACAGTGCATAAAACTGATAAACGCGATCTGGTATCAGAGGTGTGCAAGATTTTATTTACTAAACATAGCATGTATCAGTTTATACTAAAAATATGAATTATCTTAAATACTTAATTGAATGAACTTCCGTGCATTTCAATTTAAATTCTATTTTGATTTACAATGTAAATTATAATCTAGAAGTTATAAGTCATGTGCGAAAAGTGTTACAATTTTTATTCATCGTATGAAAATTTTTATTTAAATAAAAATATTGCCCACCTTTAATAGGGATGATAGAAAAACAGCTTGGGAAATCTTAAATAAAATATTTCTTGGATTAAAATCGCGCGCATGTCTTTAACGGTTTGTGGTCGATCTAGCTGGAAATAGGTCAACCTTGAGGTAAATCTCAACACAACCCTAATCATGACTCTTCTGTTTCCTTAAGTCCCATGCAAAGCTATTGTGTCCTCATTGATAATTCTTATTTTTCGTTTGTGCTGTTTTTTTAAGAATAATCGTATTATTAAATGAAGTTCAACATTTTCAGGGACTTGTAATAGCTGGCCTCGGTGATCTGCAGAGGCCAGCAAATCAACTTTCTGTCAGCCAATCATCTGCCTTGGCCGTGACTGGAATAATCTGGACCAAGTACTCTTTAGCAATCACCCCAAAAAACTGGAGTCTTTTTAGTGTAAACCTTTTCGTCGCGATAACATCTCTATATCAAATTTCTAGGGCAATAAAGTAAGTCTCATCTCCGCGAAACGAAAGATTTGAAAAATTTAATGAAATTTAAATGAAATTAAGTAAAATTTATTTTAGAGATTTAATAGCATTTAGGTATTAGTATCAACTAGACCAATTTATTTATATTTTCCATTTGTTTGTTTGCATTCAATGCATTATTATTTATAACAAATGTGTTATCGCTTCGCGCAAATATATTTCCGTTCATATTATTTGTATTAAATAATATATCTGGATATTTCTTAAATATACGAGGCGCGATACTTAAAATATCTATCGATTCTTTTTTAATGGTGTTTTTAAAATCTCGGGAAAAAAGGAATTTATGACACTTTTAATCATTTTTACGATGAACAGAATTTCTTACTTAATTTACAATTTAAATTTTCATTTACGTACGACTATATACGTAACTATTTGCGTGGTCTCATATATTCATGAATACGTATTTACGCTAAGTGCGTAAATTAAACGACATGATATTTAAAACCATGTACATAGTTATGACAATAACTCTTCGTGATATATCGTTAAGAATAATAAGTTTTTCTTATTTAAATGCAGTGGTACTTCACCTTATGTAACTATTAGAAAATGGAAATAATTTTAAATTGAACAATTTTTTTCAGTTATAAACGTCAACAAGGAGGTTTAGCAAAAGCTACAACGACAGAAGGAAAATAGTGACTAAATTGAAATAATACACATTCCTAGAGAAAAAATAATATTTAATGTAGATAATTATCATATTAGGAACAATGACTTGCGAAATACATCCATGTGATACGTAATATTGGACAAAAGAGAACTCACACTGAGTGAAAATACGTAAGTCAAAATTTAACAAGGACTTTCATTAATTTTGGAAGTACCACATAGCAAAGTTATGAATCTTTCAACTGAATGAATACAGTGCGTATTTATGTATGAAATACAACACTGTATGTAATCATGGGAATTTAGAAGCATTGAAACACCAAAAGAAAGCAATCATGGCATAAGAAATGTAAGCAATGTAAATCAGGAATAGAAAGTATAGACATCAATATTAAAATTCAAGACTCCAAAAACAGGTCATTCACATTTAGAAGCATTCAAACACCAATAATAAAGTTCTACTGATATCTAAAAAGCTTTAAAATATTAATAATGAAAGAATAGTTTGCATTAGAATGAAACACGATTATGAAGAAAATTTGATATTACAAAATACAGGATAATAATATTCTGATATCAGAATCTCTAAAAATCACAAAATGTTCATGTCAATCTGTGATATCGAACCTAAGGTGCTGCTCATATCTATTCCACTAGCAATTTGTAAATTCTAAATTTTTAGATTAAGTATACATACCAACTGAAATCTAAAGCATAATTCCAAAATTCAGTACAACACATAATAGCAGATATTATAAACTGAAACACCAATAACAGTACACCAGTTTGTAAGATTCATGTGAATTCATAAATCCATTAGGTATGTTTGTTTATGTACAAATCTACCTCTGAATAATGATATAGAATGTCTATTATAACGATTCGCAACATTGACGCTGAATGATTCGAAGAAGTAGGAAATGTACAAAGTGTATACTGAGTTCGATAATGTTATTACTGCCTTGTATAGATTTAATAAAATGATATATTTTTCTATGAACTAGTTAGTTGTTTAATGTTGAATTTTACCGATTAAAAATAACCCAAATTTTGAAATAAAATAAAGTGAATTTTAATAAAAAATTTGTATACATTAAATTTAATTTCGTTTTACAATTTTATCGTTATTAATGTTTACATAATGTGATCTGTATTATCTACATTCTATAGCGGTCTGCCACATTTGAATTGATTGTTAATATTATAAATTGAACGTTTCGTTGCCAATAATAGTTTATTACCTTTAATAAAGTCCATCATTGAAACACAGACTTAAATATGTATAGACTGTGTATACAATGTGAAAATACATGTGGCATATTCCTGCTGATATGGTAGAAAATTTCTTAATCTTCTTTATTAATTTAGTGTATTTATCGATTGTTATATTTCTCGTTGCTAAGATTGTTAATTTTATAATATGTTTTTCAGTTGTTATAAACATTTATTCTATTCATTGAAAGTTCTTCAAAGAGACAGGACCAGTTTTTCTTTTCCCTATAAAAGTAATAATAAATATAGCTTATAAATTACCAACTAAGCTATGTGCACCTATGCGCTAGCGGACTCTACCTGAATCGAACGGTCAACTATTGAAGTATATAAGACTGCAATATGAAAAGTCTGTGCAGTAGTTCAATAGTTAATCGTTTAATTCTGATAGAGTCCGCTAGTGTATCGGAGCAGTTTTGACAGTGTCGGTATTTCAGACCAGTAGAAAGAGAAATATATTGTACACAGTCTATACATATCTTAAGTCTGTGTCTTATGTATCTTGTCTATGATTTTATCTGTTCTTTTAACGCTGAGTATTTGATGTTTTGTTTATCTGTCACCACGTGTATTTAAATTAATTAATATATGTATTAAATAAATATTGTTTACATGTAGTATAACTAAAGATGGGAAAAACGTCAAAGGATAAAAGAGATATATATTATCGTCGAGCAAAGGAAGAGGGTTGGAGAGCAAGAAGTGCATTTAAATTACTTCAAATAGATAATGAATGTCACATATTAGATGGTTTGTACAATTTGTATCTTGACCAGTAATAAATTTCCAGTATATGTTTATAAATTAAAGTGGAATAATTCATTTTTTTCAAGCAGGAGTGAACAAAGCAGTAGACTTGTGTGCGGCACCTGGAAGTTGGAGTCAAGTACTATCACGTAAATTAAAGTTAGTGTACTTCATTCAAAAACTTTTACAATATATAAATTTACTTATCTCTTTATTGCAATATTGACATTAAATTCTAACAAATATATAATTATTCATATCTTTAAATATACAGTGAGAATTATAAAAAGGCTTTGGAGAATAAAAATGCTGTAGCTCCAAAAATTGTTGCTGTTGATTTACAAGCAATGGCACCTTTGGAAGGAGTTATACAAATACAAGGAGATATCACCAATACTAATACAGCAGAGCAAATTATTGCTCATTTCAACAATGAACAAGCAGATTTGGTAGTGTGTGATGGAGCACCTGATGGTAATCTATAGTACCAATACTTAAGACACACGATTAAAAAAAATTTAGATAATTTATGAATGTATAAATATCAGCAACACTACTGCATTAATTGATTATAGTTACAGGACTTCATGACATGGACATTTATATTCAGTCACAGTTATTGCTAGCTGCTCTAAATATTACAACTCATATACTTCGGAAGGGTGGTACATTCGTGGCAAAAATATTTAGGGCCAAAGATGTATCATTACTTTATTCACAACTAAAAATATTTTTCCCATACGTTTACTGCACAAAACCTAATAGTTCACGCAATTCAAGTATAGAAGCATTTGTAGTGTGCAAAGATTACTCACCGCCTGAAGGTTATGAGCCCCATATGCTGAATCCTCTCCTGACACATAAACCATGCGATTTTAATGAGCTTACAGGAATTAATAGGGTTGTTGTACCATTTGTCGTTTGCGGCGATCTTAATCAACCTGATTCTGACACCTGTTATCCTCTAGATGTAAGATAATTATATACATACATATACATATTTATATAATTTTTCTATAACATGAATAATTTTTTTGAGTTTATTTACAATTAATTCTAGTATGAAGGAAAAGAGTACAAGTACCATGAACCGGTTCAAACACCAATTGCGCCACCCTATGAACAAGCCTTATCCTTACTAGAAAACAGAGACACTGACTTCAGGAAGTCTGATGTTAGCGTCGTGATAGATAATCTAAATTCAATGTCTATTTCGGATTTCAAGAAGTTAGCGAAACAGAAACGCAAAGAAACAAATGAGAAACTAATAAATACAGGTACTGAAGAAGTTATTAGTAAGGATACATTAAGTCTCACTGAATTACCACCTGCTTTGTTATCTGATAATAAAAGTGAAGATAATAAATAAAAGAAACTATTTTTTATGGTATATTAATTATTATTCCATACCCATAATTGACCATTTATGCAATACTTTTATTTATTCAATAAATTCTTTTCAATAAATTAGTAAATTTCAAATTTTGCCGCTCTACAAAATCATTTCTTCTATTATCTCTGTTTGCGTATATTCGTGCACCTCGTGAGTGTTAATTAGGACAAAATAGTAAACACTGAATCGTTCCAGTTGCTGTGACCCTATTCAAGCATGGCACCAGCCGAGGTATTTATCGAAACATTTACAAAATCTCAGCGTTCCATACTCGCGAAATCTCTAACGAGCTAAAAATTTCATATCCGACAGACAAGCCGAGCTTGTTGCGTGTGCAAAAAGTTGTTTTGTTGTGTCCAGTGCCGAGAACGACACGAGAAGACCAAACATACGGACCAGCAACTAAAATGTCCATTTTGTACATTTCAAAAATTGCCGTTACAGTCATTCGAGGATAAATGTCTACTTGATCACATAGTGATTACTCATTTACCTCTCTACTGCAAACTGTGCGGAGAAATATTCAAACAAAGCAAGGATTTAGAGTTGTTTGGTAATTGCCAAGTTTTCGTCATTTTATTTCGTCATGACAATTCTTCCATTCGATTAATAAAAAATGGCGTCTTTTTTTAAATTCATTATTTGTAAACTAATCAATTCTTCTGTCTGTTTTATGCCATCGAAGGCACTTGCATATGGTGGAAGTCTCAACATCGTCATTCATTAGTTTCTGACTACAAATCTATACTAGGAACACCACCATTAACATCGGACGGAAACGAGCTGTCCTTAAACAGCGGATACAATGGCAACTTCGGTTCATTGACTTCACCACCAGAACTCTACAGGAAAACAAGTACACCGATGGTTAACGGACAAAAGAACAGCATAGAATTTAAAACACCGATAGTCCCGAACTTCTCATTGAAGACGCCGAAGACTAATTCCGCGTCTTTGAAAAGTCAAGCTCAAAGTGGCTTCCAGGACAGTACCGCAAGCAACTACGTCAGCTTCCCACCTTCTATTTCTCATAAGGAAACGCCATTCCGTTCCATGTCCTTGAATCGTGAAATCAAGAACGATCTTCCGAGAAGCAATTCTAGAAAGTTAGACACCATGGAAGAAGGGGAAAAGCACAGTTCAAACATATGTCTCAACGATAACCACGGAATGGAGGACATGGAACTGACCGGCATCGAGGGTGAAGTACTGCCCGATTCTCAAAGTTTAGATGTCCAGGAGAAACGTTTGGACTCTTTAAAGAAAGTACGATTCTCGGATGAATATGAAGCTCATACGGAACCTAGCACGACTAGTGCCTGCAACATGACCGAGAATGAAGAATACTTTGAGGCGTGCGACACTATGTCAGGGATACAGAAAGTTCTAGACAACTCTCAAATACAAATTTATGAAGAGAACAAGAAGAATATGCAGAAAGAAAATTATAATCCAGACAAAGTTAACGCGAACGTTAATCGACCCTCTAGCTCGTCAAGGGTAGTGATGATGGTGGTAGTGGAGAATAATACCAATGTTTCCACTTCGGACCTTATAGATTCTGGCTTGAAGAAATTAGAAAGTATTACTTCAAAAAGCAATCCATCAAACAATAACCGTAGCTCTTCTGTGTGCGACTGTTCAGTAAAAACTGTGAATAGCTATTGTAGTGTTTCGAGTCACGCGTGCTATTCCGCGTCGAATCAAATGATTAGTTCTGACAGAAGGGATTCCAGTTCATCCAATAGCAGTGGCAGTAGTACTAGTTCTGGAGGACTCCTTGCTGCAGTTGCCAACGCTATGAAATCTGTGATGAGAAGCTTTTCTGGTATGTACACGAAATAATCTCCTTTTACGAATACAGGTGTACAATAGAGTAAATTACGTAGTAGAAGGATATAAAGGAAAGGATACGATAAATGAAAAATCTTTCTCTAACTTCAATAAAACTCGAAAAATATACTTCTTATTGTTTTATATATAGGTGTAGATACGTCTGGAAGTACTGAAACTCAAGAAGTTTCTCAGAGAGAAGATGTTTCGTCAAGACCGTTCACGACGGATGCATTCAGTCCAATGTCTAAATTTGTGTCCTCGCTTTTACCAAGACCCGGGAAGCGTACTAGAGACAGCATAGAAAGTCCACCCTCGTCGTCGAGGCAGACGGACTTGATATTTTCACAACTGGAGTCCAGAAGTCCTCTTGCGAAGCGACATCGCGGCTGGTACAGGATTAAAGGTCGAGAACCGATTGCGAGGATGCGGAACAGCCGACTCACCTCTCCCCGAGGTGTGTCATCGGAGACACAAGTATTTCATCAGGGGTCTTTGTCCGTTGGTGATACAGTTCTACCTCTTCCATCCAGGGCACACCAATCTACGCAAACTGAGGAAAACTAAATCAAAATTACAATTGTCCATTAATATCATTTCCGAGTACAGAACAAAGAATTTCCAACTTTTAGTTCGAGGACGAGTGCTTTCAACAGTGGAATGAAAAGTTAAATTAAACGCAATAATTTTAATTGGAGGAAATGAAAGAATTTAAAATACAAAATGTCAAACGTCACTGATATTTTTAAAGCAGGATATTTTTAAGATAATATATACATAAAGAAGCAAATAATATTTTAATTGGTAACATTATAAACCTGTATATAGCATTTGAACACTGTATACATATTTATGAAAATTTTAATTTGGTTATTTATAGTGAGTAATTTTCGTTATATTATATTATATTTCGTTATATACTTTGTACTAATATACTAAATGAATAAAAGAATTAAAAAGGTTTTACTTTATTATTAAAAAAGTGAATAATACGTTATAATATGTTTATCTATAATCATTTTTACTATTGATTGTGCTTCTTTTTAGTGCCTTTATGTTTTTGTAGAATTTTAATACAAGACAATTCCCTATCGAAACTAGCTCTGCTGTTTCACCTTTAAGTGCGTTAAATTAAGACCCAAAGTCTTTACTTTAAGATAGGATATTGCGACACAGATAGGAAAACTGCAATAGTACGAGCAGAACAAATTTTGTTCGATTTCGTTTGATAGTACGCGCACATTTTATCCCGCGCGTAGCTTAACCCATTTTCTCGCAAGCATCCTAGAGTAGAACGAAAGGGTTATCGCGCTAGCAGTAGACGTCATCTAATTTAATGTTGCAAACGAGATCATTGCAGTTGATCAACGTGATAATGACAAAATTACTCTCCCCGCTATATGAGATAAATGTCGCTGTCGAGGTCCTTGCCAATGATGCCTCTTGATTATTTTCCACCCACCCTTTTTCCCACTTATTGCACACCTCGGTTTTCTTCCTTTCCGTTTTGGAGAGAACAATAATCCGAATACGAATATTCATTGAAATTTATATTATAGTAGAAATCGAAGCTCGAACAAAAATTGACGATTGAATATTAACATTTTTCATTTAATAAAGAGAAGTGTTAAATAATAACCGATTGATACAAATAGTATTAGCTTAATTAAATAATCGAATATGCATAGTCCTGATGACATTCAATCATCGAATATATAACATTTGTTACCATTGCAATGTTAAATTTTATGCACAATGATTTACAAATTTGTTTCATAAACATTTTGTGTTAGATTGTTCGAACGTATTCGGCAAGCTATCTTGCGATGGATTGAAAGGTTGTGTATCAAGGTGAATTGTCCTTAACCACTTGAAGCTGCTTGAAAAAAGTTATCACAGAGAAATTATAAAATATATTTGTAAATAATTATTTATTCAATGCTATCGTTCTTAATTCGTGCTATAGTTTTCAATGCAATCATTAATAAACAAAAATATCACGTGCATCCACATCCAGCCGTAACCATATGAATCACGTCACATTGACGTAATCTTGTTGTGTAGTAACACGATTGTTACATTGAATAATGCGTTCACTATCCCGTGACCCATATATGATTCACGACTCTCTTAACCCGTTAACCGAGTGATTTTTTGGCCGCCGACGCTCGTACCGCAATTAATTATGAATAAAAATTATTTGAACCGATTCACTCCATAACACACATACATATTCACGATTTAATTCATATGTAAGTACATACATATAACGTACCCGGAAGGCATTTTAAAACCAGTAAAATATCATTCGTCAAGAGAAGTTTATACTTTTTGTATATTTATTGAAACTTAAAACGTTGACTGTCACGATGGTCATCGATGATCAAAGCTTTTCACTTACTCGAAGACAATTACAATAAGAATATTGACATCAGTTAAAAACGTAATAGCAACTTAAGTAACTAGATAATAGTGTTATGTAAAAACATCAATAGCAAATTATTCACAATTATTTCCAATGCCATTTATGTTTGCTATAAAAGAGTAAGAAACATTACACAAAACGACAAAATTCTCGTGGCAGTCAATGTGTTGATTGGCTTGGATGGGCTACGGTGGTGTTGAAAACCTGAAAATACAGGTCGACGGGACGCTCGTCATCATTCGTTCGTAGAAATTCGTATTGCTGACTGTGGGAGTACATTAAATTGCGCCCTACCCAGCCTACCCGGCTATACAGCGACGATATAAAAGCCGGCCAGCCACACCGTGATCGCACAACTTTGTTTCGACTAAACTAACAGCGATCGGGATGAATTTTATTCTCCTGCCGTATCTCCTAGGTCAGTTGATCATCATCCCCCGTGCATGGATCCCTCGATTATAGTAGCAGTGGCGGGTTATCGTCAGTGTCCGTTCACGAAGGACAGGTTGCCGCTGTAACGAGTTAAAACACAGTTGACACGGTGCCGCTCTGTTACCGGCCGTTTGTCGAAAATTTCTTCGCGAAATTAAAACGATCAGTGGTCTGACTTCGTTATTCTTGCTTTGGTGGAATAAACACAGTGAACCGATACATGCATCAAGTGTTCGAGAAGGGACTGTCGGGGACTCGATCCTTCGTGGATGCTGACGTTTAACACTTGGAGGATGACTGTCGTTGTGTTGGTGACATCAGGCTTTCGTATCTAGAATCAGAAATTGCGGACAATTAGTAGGTTTGATGCTTTCACGGTTTGGAAGGCCTAGTACAAATTACTGAAATATCAGTGCATTTTTGATCCTTGATGAAACCAGCTACAACGATGGCGGAACGTTGGAAAACTTTCTATTGAACACGGTTTGCCCTCGAAAATCTCAAACGACTATGCAGATCAATAGTTTGATTAATTAAGCAAGGAAAAATCTGTTGACAGTTTTCTTCTTTTTCAATATTTAGGAGTTTGATATATAATTTAAGTTTCCGAGGGCTCTAGATGCTTTAAAGTATCTTCGTGCACAAAGGGTTAGTTTTGAAATTAATTTTTCTTGAAAAAGAGTGTAGTATCGACACATCCGTTTAACGGGATAAATTTGGAATGGCGAGAAGAAAGAAATCGTGTATCATGGAAAACACTTTCATGATAAACATCATGCTTGCAGTATGAAGTAATCATCGACAACGTGACAGATTTTGTGATCCACCGTTTACTGATCACAATTATTTCCGTTTCAGCCGTTCGTCTGCCGGACAACGAAAACGGATGGAAGAATGGACCAGAATACACATTCAATGCAACAGTCTGCACTTATTTCGAGCCTGGATCCAGTCCGTCGGATGAATCAAAAGCGACCGAGAATGTGTTCACTGGTACAACCTTGAAGACCAACATGAAATGCAGACCCAAGGAACCTAACGAACTGCACTGTCACTTCGAGGATACGATGATAGCCAATTTAACGACGAAAACATCGTACGCCGAATTGGCTGATGGCCAGTTACAGATGGCTGCGAATTACACGACCTTTGACTTTGGGAACAATTCCTTCGAGATCAAGTTCAATGAAGACGGGATCGAGAGCTACAAATTCAATGTGGTACCAGAGCCCGACGATTACACTGCAACCATGTACAAATTGATCGCGGGTCACTTGAACCTGTGGTCAAAGATCGACACCGTGAAGAGAATCAAGAGGATCGAGATGACCAGCGTAGGAGGGTGTCCTGTCACCTACGACGTCGAGACAACGAAACCAGAAAACAAGACAATGGACGGACCGTTCGTGATTACGAAACCGCTGAATGTCGACATGACGGAGGAATTGGAAATCAAGAAACAGGTACACTTGGACGAGTGTTCACCTCAAGCGACTCATATCTTCGGGAGCCGGCACACCTACGGCATTATCCCTGATGACTCTACTTTGAAATTGGTAAGTGGCTGCCCTGGAATGCCTTTTCTTAACTCTTTACGAACGAAGGTTTTTAAACAAATTAGAAACTTAATTCACAAAAGGTTACATTGAGTGTCGAATTCATTAATTGAAGTTGAACTTTGGATTAAATCAACCTCGCGCGGAATTAGAAGATTTAAGTAATTGAACTCTGTTGTTTGCATGATTCTAGCAATCCTCCAAAGGCCGAGTGTCCATTTCAAGCCACAACTTCATTTCGACGACCTGCAACAAATTTTACGCGTACGACTTGAACAAAACGATGATTGGAACACTCCGTGATCTGATTCACTTGACCTTCGACAACGTGGAACCTGTTAAGAAAGAATTGAGGACTCTTCCCAATCTCTCGACGCTCGCTTAACGAAATCGGCGTTACCTAAGATCTAAGTTGCTTGAAATATCGATAGGGTTCTACGACTCTTCGTCCTTTTTGATGTATAATGTAGCTTGTATTCGTGATAACGGAACAAGCGCAGCATTTCGATGCTTCATAGTTGTATAAAAGAAGAAGGATCTGTTTTAATAAAGTTGTTTGAAAACAATTCATTACGTCCGTTCCTGTGTTATCAATCTAGAATCTAGATTTTAGGTGATATCCATCAACTAAACCCAATAATATGGAAATTTATCTTAAATATGGAAAGTTTAGAATCAGTTAAGCGTTTTGACGAAAACATTTTAGAAATTTCTATTGTATACAAATATGTTCAGAGTTTTGATTGGTTACGTGTTTCCGTATTGTAGACTGAGATATCAGTGTCGAAAATGAGATGAGAACATATGAAAGTTGAACAATTAGATCCGCCTTCCTTTCACTATCATTCTCGCCAGAGACGCAAACTAATACGAGTTCAACGAATTAATCGTTCGTTACTCGTAAGAGGTCAGTAGTACAACTAACAATAAGCTACTCCACTAAAGTAGTAATATGTTGTACAGCACGGACACGGATGGAATGCCCATTGCAGTGTTATTTTTCTTAGGCGAAAACTGAGGATTATACTTAGAATGTTATAATGTTATAACATTATAATATAATATACTACAATATTATAATATTCATGGAACACGGTACAATCCTTCTAGTGGCCATTCATTGATAAAACTGGCGAGTGAAACGATCCTGAAGCGAATGATCCCTGCATTGATCCTTTCTTCAGCTCGAACCAGATGAAGAGATTAAGAGGAGAAAAACTTGGACACAAGGTACGTCCTCGTGATTCACGGCGTGACTCGAAGGCACACTACCGGCATCACCTCTAATCGGTGAATTTAGAGTCCCGGCAATCATTCAATTGTACGCGCCGACGAATTGTCGTCGCACGAATCTATTGCATGGTCAATCTATAACAGGGTTAGTTTCTTCCTTGTTGTATCGGAATCGTGTTTTGTACATGTCAAACGGAATGTACTGTTGATGGTGTAATAGTAAAACTATTTGCTAAATCGCCAAGTGGACAATTCAAAGGAAATTATTCAATTTTTCTACAACTTTCTTTGTCATATAGAAACTGGACAGTCTAATGCCGTCGCATCTAATACTTGAAATTGGTCAATGTTACCACGATATCTGGGATTTGTTGAATTTATTATACAATAATACCTAGAATTGGTCAAGTGCTTTTGTACAGAGTGCATATGCAACTCGCTCATGTCGCAAAATGAGAAAAACTCCTTGACCGTGCGCGCGCGCACACGCGGAATACTTAGATCGCGTGCAATCTTCAACTGCGTTGCAGATCGAGATCACGTCGAATTAGCAAATCGGACTATGCTCGAAGACGAAGATTAGCCGCGCGCAACGTGCAATCTAGCCATTGTGGACAACGCTATAAAGAAGCTTTCAGCTGGAACAGGGGCACTTCTATAGTTAAACACGTTGCAACAACATGAACTTCGTATTCATCCCATTCTTTCTTGGTGAGCCAATTAACCTTAATCAATTTTCATGCATGAGCTTGTTGCGGTGCATTTTCTGCCGTGTTTGGCCGCGATCGTTGTCCAATTCATTGGATTTCAGTTAGGTGTCCTTTAGTAAAAATGACTCTGACCATTCCTTGGAATTGCGATTATCTTCGTTAGGGGATCCGGGTCAAGCGTATTTGAGACTGAATGGATTTTATCTAAAATCCTGAAGCAGAAAGAATTTGGAATGAATTGTAATTTTGCATGATAGTGGAAACATCGATGTACAGGGGGAGTTTCAAGATTGAGATAAGTTAAGAAAAATGAGTCGAAGTGAACGAAAGCGTCGGAAGATTGAGAAGGAGGAAGAAGATAAGGAAACTGATAGGGGTCAAAGGTGAAACTATTGTGCCTCGATTCGTTCCCCGTAGACAGGGATTCGCGAATCGTCCGCGAAGTTAGCACGATAATTCTTTTCGCCGGTGGTGGGACGGCTTAATTAAATTACGAGGTCGTCAGAGTGCATCGGTGATATAAAAGGACACTCGTGGCGACAAAGAGTGTTAAACCAGTTGAAGGTAGTGCCGCGACATGCTCGTCTCATTCATTCCGTTCTTCTTAGGTCGGTAAGCCAATTTACCATTTAGCCGTCGTTATCGTCAATCTCATTAAATTGGACCAGGAACTTTACTTGCGCGTACAATAATTCACGATTAATCATAACATCATCGTCCGCTCTAATTATTATTCAGATGGTCACCTAAATATTGAAAACAAAACCATTGTGGATGTAAACTCACACATCGTTACCTTTCAAATTTCACGGTGATTCTGATCAGCAAACGTGACCGGTAGTTTCTCGTTCGCGTTTCGTTGCATCTACGTTTACCTCACACCCTCTCAGTCGCTGCGTTACCGTAAACCCCAAATACCGAGAAATGGAGTATTTCGGGAAATTCTAAGATTTACTAATAACTTCCTCTAAAAGTTACTATTTTAAACGGGACGATTTGTGTTTGATTTTTAATGATTATATTGATCTAGGTTCTGGGCCAGATGGTAGCAAATATTACGATTTGCCAGTTAACCTCGAGAACAACAAGATAATTCTTATTTAGCCCTTAACAAACCAGCATGTTTTTGTGCCGTGTCTAATCCATAGAAAATTGTCAAAGAGAAACGAAAGAATTCTGTTTTAGAAACTTTTTCTCGGATAATTCGGATATATCGCATACAAAATAATATAGTAATAAAATACTCTATGAAAAACGATTTGAAAATCTGTCTGTTAGACATTACTGAACTGTTTAAGGTGAGCGAAGTTTTCGCCATGTAAGTACACCTTTTGGCTCGTTTCAGTCGCCCACGTGGCGGTCGACGAGACCGTATGGAAGCTCGGTCCGGAGTTTGTATTCGATGTGGAGATGAACTTCACGTCGATCCCCATGGACCATCATCTGCAGACTGTGAAAAAATCGAACTACACGGTGATGAATCTGTACTGCAGGCCGAAACGCGATGACACGCTCGCCCTCAGCTGCCGCATGGCTAACTGCCGCGGCCAGAGCATAGACCTGACCAACGACAATCAACTGGAGATGTCCGAGGAAACTTACAAACGTTTCTGCGACGCGGAACCGTTCGAAATCAAGTACAACGAGCACGGGATCGACCATTTGATCGTAAACGAGCGCATGCGTGTCTACACCTTGAACGACATCAAACTGATCGCCGAACGTTTGAACATCGGCGTGGATTTGAACGGAATTCCCGACGGTACTTTCGACGTCCCGCAGAACACAACGATCGGACGGTGCAATGTACACGTCGGCCTCCATCACTATCCTACGAAAAGGGTCCTGAATAATGTAGAGAAATACCGGTACGAGCTGAAAGCATTGCCGCCATTGAACAAAGTGCCCGGTGAGGTTCTGCTCATCCAAAAGACGACAAACTTGAACAACTGCAGCCGCTACGCCGCGTTCTACTTCGGCTCCTACGGGAACAGTCTCGTCGAGCCGGATCTTCACTCGCATTTAGTAAGTAATGGATCTAGATTCTGTGATCAACGCGAATCGTCACTGTTTTGAATGCAAAGTATGTGGAAGCAAGGTATGGATGCCTTGTGACCGGAGAAGGGAAATGGTAGGTTAGACCGAGGAAAATCGGATCGTCTTCTATTCGACAGCAAAGGAATAAAAATACTAAAAGGTTACTGATAAAAAGTGAAAAAGAATGTTTGAATGTTCCCTTCGCAAATAAGAAAGAAGAAATGAGGGACATTATTTGCGGTGTAACACGTGTGAACTGGATTCTTGTTTCGATCTGATTCAGCCTGCCATCCAATTCGTCTCGGTCTACTCTATCTTAACACCTTACGCCGATTTGTGGTTTAAAGATAAAAAGTTTTGTAATATTAACTATCGAACGAACATTTTTATTGCGAACGTAGGAGTTAATCCGCGGCTCGAAATTCTACAGAAAATTGTACCTTCCGATGATCTTAATTCTAGGAAAGCTCGACCAGCCGCATTTTTATATCGGACTTCCAGTTCGCTTCGACGCTGTCGAGGACTGGCACCCTTGGCTCGGACAGAATGAACAATCTCGTCGCGATTTCGGAATACGTGAGCGTGACCTTACGAGAAATTCGTGCGGCTAAACGAGAGCTGCCCGATATTACGGAGGCGTCGAGGACAGACATCGAAGTGAATGCGAACGTAAATAGAATCAATGCGATGAAATAAATTTTGATACATCTTCATCGGTCGGTTACGAAGAGCATGGTCCACGCACGTGAGATCGTAGATTCGTGTTATGTATGTAAGTAGTTGGAAGTATCAACTATGTAAAGTATCCCTCTGACAGTATAATAAAAATTAAAAAGTCATCTACGATTCGGGCTATGATCTTCATGTTTCCTTCACTATCAAATAATTAGGTAAACATCGAAATAGCTGTACTTTGCTCGAGCTAAGAGATTTAATAATATCGAACAAATATGTGATTCCATTTAAAAGGATAATTTTTCTAATCAAATAAACTATTACTTATTCTAGAGAAATCATAGTTCAATAACACAGCAAACATCGAACGTTATAATCATTACGTTGTTAATGCTAATGATAAAGATCATGTTGAAAGTAAGGGTTGCTATAATCATTTACCGTTATTTCAGTAATGTCTAAAAGAATCCCTGATTCTAGGAAGAAGCTGGTCATCTAATCAAGTAGTGTCAAATGTTAGATAAATTTCTTTTTATTTAAATTACGGTTACAATAAATTGTACCTACGGCAATCCGCGCGCGTTCAGGCGCGCATCCTCCGAGTGTCGCGTGAACGCGCGCGTTTCACAGTTTTACAGCGATCATCGTTTAAGATTCAGATTGATTGACGAATTCGATTGGAAAATGAAGAGAACCGTGTATTTTCGGCGCGGGATTGACCGCCGAAGCGATTCTGCCTTACGAAATGAAGCGGCTCCTATTCACGTGACTAAACCTTACATCTAAGTGTGCAGATTGCAACCGGCCCTCGGTAAAATGTAAAACGTGTTACACTGCTTGACGCTCGGCGACGATAAGCTTTGAATCGGTATACTCAGCGAATGCCATTTTCGACGTTTAACTCTTTCAACGGCGTGGCGTCAGTTTCCGAGATCCGCGTAATATTTAAACAATACTAGTGTATAATTCTAGAAAATGTCTCGTAGAGATGCTGAACGTGACGTGATAAAAAGTTTAATATTAATAAGGAATTTTGATTTTACGTAGACCTGACGACCTACTACGGGAACTAAGCTTTTATTTCATTCTAATTTTTATCAATTGTTCCCTGAAAATCTGTATTTCCATGAACATCTGCGATACGCGAGACGCGAGTTAAAGGGAAATACGTATTTAACCGTGCATGTATTGGGATATTGGATATCATATTGAATATTAATTGACAGTTAAGTTAGGAAAGTTCGTTTCTTCTTTCACGCTGTTACAAAGAATGCTATTGTAATTCCAATGTTTTGTTTATTTTCTACATTACAAAAAATTCTCTAATATTCAATAAAATTATTTGAACCATCGATTATCGAGTACTTAAACATACCGAGTGCTTAATTTACACGTGGTATCATATTAAAGCATCGTGAAAAGCGTGGATAGGATTGGCGAGGAAGTTTTACGACCGCAGTTTTATGGAAGTTCACGCGAGAATTCGTTAAACTATGTATTGCCCTTTTTGATTGACAACTGTGTGTCATCTTTTTAAGTTATCCCCTAACCATGTTCTCGAAGAAAGTTCCACGCTGACAAAGGGCTAGAAAACTTTCCGGCCAACCCGATACTAATTTATTTAATTGAAATCCGAGGAATGCGCGTTAAGTATTAAATGAACGTACAAGTATCATATGTGAAGCGTGTTCGGAGAAACGTTATTATCTCTTACTTCCATAGCTCGATCGGAATATCTTGCACAGCACTATTGACCAAACACAAATTCAAACCCGGCAAGGAATTAAAAGAGTTAAACGTTCGAATCCGATCCCCTCGATTCAGGACACCCGGTATGCAACCTCGTGGTCCTGATATTAATAAGTATGAAATGCAACTCGGTACAAACCGCAATTATCGGCCCGTGGAATGGATAATGGTTCGGCTGTTCAAACTACATGAAAAAAATGGAAAGAATCGTTAGAAAAATGTCTTTCCATTTCATCATTCTACTCGAACGCTTGAAATATGTTTCGATGGATTGCACTTCCGTACGTGTCTTAACTACGTCCGACGATACGACTTAATTCTCTCACAGCTTATCCATTGATTAACGATTTAGTCTTAATTTTAGTTGAGACGTACATCGAATATTAGTCACCATAAATGTGCACTAAAACTCGCTCTCGAAAATGCAGCCTAATAATACCAGAGCTGTCTGGATACGCGAATACTTGGGTTACAATGAGTACCCGAGCGAATAGCTTGATAATCCAATTGTTCCATACTCTCGAAATGTATTTTCTTTTGTAATTATTTTTAATCGTTTACTTGTATTTCTTTCGTTCATTGAAGCATTCGTATTTAACTAAAAGCTAGATAATACAGTCGATTCGTGCATCGAAATCCGAATACTTCTATCTTTTTCAATCGAGCGAAATGCTCGAGTACTTCTTTGATGCCGAGTACTCGAGGACTTACGTCGTTCGGAAATCGAGGCAAGTATTCAAGTACACGAAAAATCGCACAGCTCAAGGATTCTTCTTCGAATAATCGTTTAAATTCTTCTAATCAAATCGATATTTGAAGATCCCAAGCGAACCGGGCGCAAATGTTTAATTCTCGGATTGTTTTAGCACATTGTGAGTTATAACTGAAGCTAAACGAATTCTCTATCTACTCAATCTACTCAAACAACCCAGCGCCCGGTCGGCGTCGAACGAATTCCTCTCGATTCTTAAAGTCTCGTTTCGAATTCGAAATTTCAAGCTCGTCGATTCGAGCTCCAACGAGTTTCCCTGTATCAAACATCGAGTTTCTCGATTCAAATTCCAAGTTCGTCGAGTTTTTCGACAACTCGTCGCGATTTCGACCAGTTCACGGTTACTTCGTTTCTCTTCTCGTCGAAATGTATGGTCATTCCGACATTTTCTACTGGCGCGTTTACACCGATCGTTCACTCGCTTAGATAAAATCGAAATCTAAACGAGCATTCATTTATTCGATTTTAAAGACACTTTATTCGCCGAATATTCCCGAATGCTTGCTCGATTTTAGGAACAAATGTTGAAGTAAGTCCCGCCACAGACGAACGATCTCCTCGTGACATTGCGACTTTCCATCGCTCATCGTTTCACTGTGATCTCATGCCGACAATGCGTTTCAATTATTCAGCTGATGATACCATAAAAAAGAACGCGTTTAACAGTATATTCAGTCGGTCACGCGATTATTTATCACGTTTTGCGTCGTTAAACGCCTCGCTCACTCGAAGTAACTCGCACTTCCGGTTACGCCCGCGATTCAAAGGAACCAGCGTTCTTCCGCTCGCGGAAAGTCAACGAATGAATTCGCGACGTGTCCATTCGCGTTCCGACGTATACTTTAGATACGTAAGTACATCGTTCCGTTCCAATCGTTGAATCTTCAGTCGGTTAACATCGCAATCGTGATTGCGCTTGATAATTATAATGGCACGATTACAATGATCGTTATTGTGCGTTAGGTTTCGTAATTGCTTGCCCCATCGAGGTTCAATGTGAAATAAATCGACGTTACTGTGTGCCGGTTCGGCAAGCCACAGATTCAGTGTATCGAATCGATTGGAGGGTAACGTCGATCGGTAGTGTAACATGTAGGTAAAAATTGTTTTACTTTTCGACGAATAAATGAAAAATGTGATGCAGTCTATTTGTTTCTTGTTACAGACTTTTAACGGCGGTTTCCGTTCCACCGCCATCATAAAAATTTATAAAAATTTATAAAACATGGTCGACGTGTTTCGTTACGGAGTTCATGATTAAATTCGTTAGATATAATTGCACTTATATATTTCATTTGAATACAGCAAATGTGACGTCACGTTGTTAAAGTTGAAATGAAATATTTTACACATCGCGTTTGACTTCACTAACACGATCAGTTTTTTTGACATGATGACGATTTCGTGGTATAAAATTGCTATCGTCGGCGCTCATCGAAAACGACGCTATCCCCCAACCAACAGTATAAAAAAATCGAAATCATTTGCGACCACTGTGTCACTTAAAGAACGATTAAAAATTCCATATTCAAATCGATATAAAATACAACAGTTAAAACTGTTCGTCTGCAACACGTTGCTCGAAATTTCGATAAAAAGAGTAGAAAAACACGATGACTTTAAAGACGAACATTCACGTGATAACCAGGCAAAAGCCTCATGAGCAATTAATTAAACGCGTTTACAAATATTAACGTCGTATTTGCTTAACCCAATGGATTAATTGATTAATTAAAGATATTGCCACTGTAAAAATTATGACAATCCATAGTACCATATACATGTATATATCTCAAGTTTTTATATATATCCGATTTAAAAATGTAAATATTGTGTGTGTGTGTGTGTGTGTGCGTGTGCGTGTGTGTGTGTTATGTATAAGGGGACACGTGGTGGACACGTATGTGATAAGGCGTTTAGAAATATGAAAACCAGGTGTTTTTTAAAAGCAGAGGAAGAAAAGAGGAGCCAGAAATAATAAATGTAGCCAAAAGTGAAGAGATAATCAAGTGGTAAATAGTTTTTGAAAAATGAGTGACAGGTGAAGTTGACAAGTGACAAATGAGATCTATAGATCGCGATCAATAAATCCGTAAAGATAATGATAAGCAGAACAAAGTGGTGCCATCTAACAGAAAAGGAAATAATAAACATAACTCATTATCGATACAACGAATAATCGAGAAAATGTGGGTGTTTTAACAGAATTAAGGAAAAAGGGTAAACCATACGCGGCGGAAGAGATAGAACAGAAAATTTTAGTTCTGAAACGGAATTGTTACAGACAAAACAAGAGAATAGAAAGAAAGATTGGACCGGAAAAAGAATTTTTAGAAAAACTTCGGAAAACAAGGATAATAAGTAAATCGCAACCGGCAAAGAGAAAAGAAGAATCAGAAGAAATCAACATTTCTGTTTGAAATTTTTGTCATCGGTTAATAACGAGTAGAAATTTATTCCTAGTATTTTGCAATTAGTTTCAAAATTTGGACGAAAGAATGTGTCGAATTAGCAACACGAAGAAGAGTATTACACGTCGTTATGTGATGTTGTTCAGGATTTACGTGATGCGAATATAAATCAAATGTTATGTGACGCCATCGTCGACAGGCATGCAATATCGAATTACTAATTGAATATCTGTAACTGGAGCCATTAATGAGTTGGTTCTTACTTTTGAACATTTTTTTAATATTATTTTTATTCTAGATCATCAGATGTTCTATGTTTGGATACGCCAATATTAAAGTTGCAGCTTGCAACCAGTTGCCAGCTTGAAGCCAAGCACAACGTTGCAAAGCAAACCTGAATAAGGAACAATTAAATTATTCATTTGAAATTAAATATAGCCTACGTTACTGAGATTCAACCGTATCGCAATCGTGCATACCACCGTGCAGCTATCGCTCGTGCAACCTCATTCCTGAATGTTGTGGTTGCTGCAGTGTCTCCCACTCTCGCAAACTTTGCATGCGTGATTTTGGTCGTGCTTTATCATCATATGTTTGGTATCCGAATTTCTGGAATCTGACAAACTTTTTGAAACTATAAAAATATAACAACGGTTTGGCGAATAAAACTATCGTACGTAAATGAAATCAAGACATTATTGGCTTAACAACAATCTTCAATTCTAATTGATTCTTGGACTGCTTTTAATCCCGCAATTTTTGGCTTTTGTTGACACTATTATCCACAGCTTTTATGAGTTACATTTGGGATGGGATATGATATCATAATTGTTTTTAGTAAAGATAGAGGATGCAGTAAAAACGATTATTTTTTAATAATTTATATCTTCTTCTGATATTACTGTAATCCCCCTTTCAAAGGCCGAAAGTTAAAAGAAATAAAGGATTTACTACTATAGATACCTGTGTATATATATGTGGGAATGGATGTATTTGAGCCTGTGCAATAGATGAATGACGCGACTGTGTGTGCAAGCGCGTTTTGAATGAATGTTCAAAGCGTTGGAATATTCTAGATTATAGTGATTTTCTCTATATGTTAATAATGTTCATTTTTTTATGAATCTAGAATATTCCAAATATATGTGAAGTTAATGCATGTGTGCGTTACGCCGTTCGCGGTTAGGGAAAATTTAGGGAACTTTACGTGGGTAAGGTGCCCGTAGAGTACTAAGATACTCTGCTCGTGGCTCGTGAAATAAACCTTATACTTTTGGTTGTGGAAATTTTGACTTCTGTCTTATTTCTGAGTTTAGTTAAACGTTCGAGGTTTGAAAATGTTCTGATGTTTGCGTTGTAAATCTCGTTCGTTGCCGGCTCGCATTCCCTCTTCCTTGGTCCTGTTTTCTCCTTCCGAGTCTCCTTGGCTCAATGGCAGAGGAGATCTGGTTAATGCGCGGGAACGATTCCATGCGCATATGCTGGAGAAAACGCGGGACCCAGAGAAACACACAATGTTCTCATAAAAGCGAACGCGTCGACAGATAACAATGTATCGAATTCGCCGAAGTGAGGACCGAATGTAACACGTATTAACCTTTTGAAAAGAATTTATGACCCCTTACAATGTATCGAATTTGCCGAAGTGAGAACCAAAGATGATTCTAGCTGAAAATAATAATTCTCTGGTTTCCAACTTCCTCTCAGCTCGGCCGTCCGCGTTGAGTGTTTTACGATACTGTGTCTATAATGTTCTCGCTAAACCGTTCGTACTTCCCTCTCAATTTATGAGCTTCGACCATGGAACACAACTATAGCTTTCTTCGCCCGGCGTTACCGTCGTACCGTACCTATCCAATACACGCGATAGCGTTACACCTTCCCCCTCACACAAAAAAGTGTTTACATGAAACAGCTTTTTCGCTCGCATTGGTGCGCCTAGATAGGCAAAGGTGAGTCTCATTCTAATAATTTCTAACGTTCGTGCGTCATACGCCATAATATTTTGTTCGGCATCCCATAGTACATCTTATGATTAATTCACATACGATGTTATCGGTACATAAAACGATTCTTACAAACACTGTTTACTCTATAAATATAGTACAGGCAGAAGTATGCAACATCGGCGATGCCGCTAGCGCACATTTGTTAATCTAATCTTCCTATTCAGTAAGATCATCCGATCTTATGTGTGCCAGTTTAAGTTTATTACTGTATTATTTTGAATTTACCTTTTCCCAAAGCTAATTCCGCTGTTAAATCATTAAACATCTGGTTTACTCTGTAGGAACCTAGCCAATCGCAATCAAATTTTGAGGTCTTGGGTTCCTTCAGTAGGTATACAATGTCATTTAAATTAAATTCACGTGAGTTGAATGTTCGGCCGTAGTAATTTTTACTCTTTTGTTTCGCTCTGTTTAGATTCTATGCTGCAATAGTCTGGATGGTGGTGATTTTAACGAAGAGTTCGTCGAGATGTTATGCGAATGTTTAGGGTGCCTGTTCCTTGGCAAATTCCGATGGTATAGCCGCTTTGACTCCGAAAACTAACCCGTGTGGTGTGAAACCTGTGGCCCCATGTACTGAGGTATTGTACGAGAAAATGCAGAATCTTACCCAATTGTGCCAATCTGTTTTAGTGCAATAATGCTTCAGATAATTGATAAAATTACGATGACGTTTAGCTTCCATTAGCTCATCGTGCTGTCAAGAATGACGCTACGTCGACGAGGTAGAAGACCAGCATCCCAACAAGAGCACGAGCGAAGGGACTTAAGTTAGAGTGTATGTGCGTGGGATGACCATGCAGACACTTATGGTGGGCTGCATGGTTTGCCCATGCTGCACAATTGATACGGAGGCATTGGGCCACTCGAACATTTGTTGCTCTATGGAGATCATACACTACACATGTAAGGCCCATCATAGCGTCAATCATGGATGTAATAACATGTTTCATGCTATACAAGTTCGCAGAGTGTATCACACTTGAAGAAATATAACATCTTACAACAGCTCAAAAACACAACATAAGAGTCCATACGATATGAGCCGTATAGACAATACCCCAAAATTTAATATAAAACAGCATCCATGTAGCAGACCTAGCTGAGACCCAAGAGCCCAAATTTTTACAATCAATAACTATGCACACCCACATAAATCCTCAAAACCTGCTTCTTAAATTCAGACATGAGATCAGAGAATACTCTGTTCCTTATATCATTTTACTAAAACTCAAAAAATAAAAAACTCTAAAGAAAAATTAATAGAGAAGAAAAAATAAGTTTTTTATATGTATATATATGTATAATATATATATATAATCGACAGTTTGAAAGCCACGTATATCCGGTATACGTGAATAATAGTTAGTTCCTTTCAAGTTAATTACGCCTCCGATCGATTTTCATCGAATGCCGGTTGAGTTTCGTGACTCACGTTGGTTACTTATTATCCATGATACCTGTTTGACTCACTAATGAGCGTACTTTAGTACTCAGTGCTTAATGGCACGAATAATATTACATTCGCGGAAGTTCGTTAAATATGGTGGACTTCCTTCGCTTCTTTCGCCGGTTCCAAGCGGAATAACTGTTTTTAATGATTTCATGCATTGAAAAATGTATAGGCTCCGCCCTATACAAATAATTCATCCGATATGCTGTCTAGGTGAAACGTTTTGATTTTCATTAATGTGATTAAGTCAATTTAAGAATAAATATTCTCATATTTCTCTTACGATTCTATGCTACCAATTCATAATTATTGACTTCGATATTTACTGAAATCCTTTTCTGCACTTTTCTCTGTTATTCTCCTTCAATGCCATTCACTTTTTCGCGAAATGTGACTTACATCACTTCGACGAACACTTACAGATATGATGCGAGATACCCTGCAATCGGCGTGCATTCATGTAACAACTGAGCACTGCGGCGTCGCAGACTATTCTATTTATTCATCGATTTGCTTCCAATATCTGGATAACGTAAATATCGGTTCGATCATCATTGACTATTATTATTCTTTCTTAAACCGGTTACGGTTTTTGGATCCCCTTAGGCCCAATAATAATCGGTTCCAGCTTTTCGAACTTGTCCAATCGCTCTCCAATTTTTTCTGATTTATTTCCTTTTCTGTACTTTTGAAAAATAACAACGCACATAATTATTCATATCATTGACCTTGACAAAATACATCAAGGTCACTGAAATTGACAAGGTGGATCATGTTTCACGTAACAACTAAATTGTTATGAATATTCCTACTTTTTCCTGTTCCTCGATGTTACATCGAACGCATACATGAACGGGAAACCATAGCAAGACCAAATATCTGCTATCGACAGGAAGGTTGTTAGAAAATTGTTTTTATACAAGTCTATAGTCACGCGAGGGAGAGCGAGACAAGGATATGATTCCGAAAACTTTGGAGAATCACTGATCACGCAAAAGGTGCAAAAGAAACGCAACTGGTCAACCACACGCGTCGACCGCATCCTCTCATCGAGATCATCGCGACGGAAACGTTAATAAACGTAAAAGTGCGACACTCATCGATCCTTCCTTCCGGTTTTTAAAAACCATCATACAAACGACTCATGCACGAAGGTCGCTAGCAAATCCTACGCAGGATGTTTATGTGCGTATCATGTGTTCCCTAGCTTTCTGGCCTATGGAAGAACTTAAAGAAAAAGAAACGAGAAACGATTAAATCATGAGCTTCATCGAAGGACGCCCGACAAAATGACGGATGTCCCGCTGGATAGCCGTGATCCGTTCCATGACTGGACGTCTCCTTCTGTGTTTTCTCGCTTTTTTAATTTTCTTTTTGTTCTCTCCCCCTCCTCCTTTTGCTGTCTCTTTCGTTCTCTCCACCTGATTTCATTTCGGAAAAACAAGCTATCCTAACCTAAGGTATATACAATCATTACGTTCGCAGAAGAGCTACGGTCCGGAACCGCGGCTCAGTCGACAGTTCTGTTGCGCCGAAATGGCGGCACGCGGCCAACAAAATGGCGCGACATTATTGGCCGTTGTTGATGTTGTTCTGTTGTTTCACGGAATCCATATTCGGGATGTAGTCCATAGCCATTAGGCAGGCGAACACCGTCATCACCATCTTCGGTTTCACCTCGGTGATGTCCTCCGGTAGCGCGTAAACCCGCGCGCCGCATTTCCGGGCCAAGGATATCGCGTACTTCGCGTTGTCCAGGTTCTCCTGCAATCCAAGCCGGCAGACGGCCATTAGTCACGCCGATTCGACGGCTCGGTTACGTGGAAACGAAAGTGACGACACTAACGATCGCCAACTTCTTCGAGGGAACATCCGAGGCCAACTAAGCCGCCTACGGAGATTCGCTTCGCAGTGCGATTGTTTCTTTGTGTCGGACTTTTCACGGAACAAAATACACAAAATGAAAAATATATAACATTAAATTGTTCAATTGACTTGCGTTATTGTTATTGCACGTTTATCTTGTTGAATGTCACCTAGGTGGCACTACATATTTACATGTATTATCGAAATATTTTCAAACAATCATCGTTTAATTGAACGAATTATAATAATTCAATTTGGTTAGGGTCATCGGTGACTTCTATGATATTCAATGTGTTAATCACAAATAAGTTGTAACAGATTTAAACATTGGAATAATAAATTCTCTTTAAGTGTTTGATTTCTGTGTTAAATAGTACGAAAATTAACTCCTTAATAGAATTTTCTAAAACATTCTCAAACTTATTGTGAACAAGAGATTCTTAAACTTGAAGAAGAAAATTTATTGTTGACTGAATTTCATTAAAGGATTAATGCATTGATCTGAAAGATAACTTTCTCCGACGCAAGAAAATGATTTTCAAGGTATTCCTTATTACATCCATACAGATGATAAAAACTTTCTCAATTATATTAAATAACTCAACATGGAGTAAGTAATTTTATGCAACACAACAGTATTCTCGTTTCAATCGAACGGAACCCATTAAAATTTGAAGAAAGTGAAGTTACCGCGTGGAGTTTACGACGGGATTGATTAAAAGTACGCAACACAGTACTTCTATAACCATTAAAAATAATGATTCAATGGTTTCACTCTGAAAACAACTAGTCAGCGAACGTTCGTAGTCGACGAAGACTACAAATATTACGATTTATCGTGTGTAAATCGGATCAAGTTCAGTGACGTTGAAAAAACTATGACGTACTTGCAGTAATAGCGTTCGTCATTCGTTTTAGCAATGACAACCGTCGCTGAAGTAACTTCTTCACGATCATGTTATATCTCTTTCACAAAGAATATTGCTTAACAGGCTGCTATTAGCGTGTCCCAGAAAATGCTTTACAGCTTTAGCCACTATTTCCTGATAAAATTGCCCGTGGTATAATGATAGAGAATCACGAAAAGGCAACACATTCTACTTTATCGATTGATATTAATTTGTACATTCTTATTTACTTGCAAATCTCTATTTTTTTTTAAATCCAAGAGCTCTTTATCTTTTCTCTTGACTTTCGAATAAAAAAGTAGAAACCTGTCTTACCGATAGTTGGCACAGTCCACACTATTTTATATATTTCCCGTATATAAATTCAAACCTTGACCGTAAAAATGACAAAAATAGTAACAAAGTATTTCGAAACAAATTAAATAAAACACGTTAACGGAAAGACTCTCAATGAAGTCATAGAACTTGTTCCTCGTACTCTATGCAAATTAACTGATTATACTGTGGAACAAATTTTCACCTATGTTAGTTTTTGCAATAACCACTATGTGATTCTTATAGAGCCCTAAATACGAATCCGAAAACCAAAACCAAACTTTCTCATAACTATTATGAAAATTTATAAAACAATTAAACATTATATATATACATATAAGAAGTGACCGGGGTCCAGGTCTATACAGCGCGTAGTAACGGCCCTGCATAGCTGTGGCCGGCGAGCGATGGCTGTGTGGCGCCAAAGTTCCGTGCTCGTGCACTTCACGGACATTTTCTTAACCTGTCCGAAAGAAAAACCGTTCTCACACTTCCCGTGGAGGGGTTCCTCTTCAGAAATGTCTGCAGAATCCAATGGTGCACAGCAAATTCGTGCTGGCCAATCCATTTTTCGTAGAAATGAAACAGAAGTGCATACAAAGTACGCGCATCTATGCTTTTTTAAACTTTGATCATCGTTTACAAACATTTAATGATACGCAAAATTCAAAATTTTTATAGCTACATGATCGGGCAAGTCTCCTTTATTTTTTGCGACAAATTTTAACTGCCTATCGTTTTTAGTTTTCACGTAATACTTAGTTTTCTAAAAAATTCGACCGTTTTTACGACCAGTTTTTTCGAAAACTGAACCTGATCCAGCAATTTGGTTTTCGGATTCGTATTTACGGCAAGGAACTCTATAAGAATCACATAGTGGTTATCGCAAAAACTAACATAGGTCAAAATTTGTTCCACAGTGTTATCGAATCTACGAAACTGTTATCCGTCTCACCTCTTCAGTGCCTCCTTCCTTGACGAGATCGTAATTGACGGTCCCAGGTTTGATGGCGTCGATCAAATCGATCACCACCTTCCCGTCAGATATCGAAGAATCCTGGAAGCCTTTGATGCTGCTCGTCTTGCCCGCCCCCTGCAGCTTTGAATTCACCCACTGCACGATCTCTTTCTCGACTAAGGTGCTACCTTGAGTGCCAGCCAGCGACGTTAAAATCGACAACGTGTACGATCTCATCAGCTGCCAGATCAAGGCCAGCGTAAGTGTAGTATTCCCATCGTTGATGTCTTGACCAGCGATTCCGACCAACGAGAAGTTCATCGTCTTGCCTAGCTCCACTGCATAGTTGCAGTTCTCCAATTTCTCCATGAACTTTCGCAGCTTGGTGAACTTCTTATGGACGCGGTTCCAGTTCACAGTGCCGGGTTTGATAATGTCGTATAGCTGGAAGATAACCAGACCATCAGCTAGGTCGGAATACAGCCAGTTCACGTACGGTACCACACCCATAGAGTTCATCCAGTTACGATAGGTCTTCTCCTCCCTGTTCTCCTCCAACGATTCCAGCCCCTCTATGTTGCTTTCCGGCTTGTCCAGTCCCGGATAGTTGTTAAACATGTTCGCGACGAACGCGAGATTTAGCTTGTAAATACCGTTCACAACGTCACTGGGTGTCACGAAGCTACGGCAGCCCAGTTTCGCAGCTTGTTGTAACATTATTTCAGCACGAGACGTATGATTTGGTTCCATCAAAGCTTCTAGAGTGACGCCAGCGCTGTTCGGCGCGATTTGCTTGATCAAGTAAGTGTAGATCTCCGAATCGGTGATGTCCGCTTGGAAGTTGTTGCAACGTCTAGCGATTCCGGCATTCTCCAGATGATGATTCACCCATCTTAGCAGGATAGATTCAGGGGAAAGTTTTAGTAGATCCTCGATACGCTCACCGTCTTGCAGAAGAGTAGCTAGGCCTGGACAGTTCTCCAATGTGATCTGATTGAACAAACCGATCCTGATGATTTGCCATAGCAAACCAAGGACCAGGTGAGGGGATCCTTTGGTGAGATCGTGTGCGTCGATGTTGACAATGTTGCAGCCGATTGATTGGGCGGAAGATAGTGCCAGGGTTAGGTTCTCATGCTTCTTGTACAGCGTCAGGTTCTTCTTATTGATCGTTCGTTCGTCGATCGTGTCCGGGCAGGAATGATTGATTATTTTACTGGAATAGATAACGGGAATGTTAGTCGACTGTTGCTAGATGAAAAACGAAAAATACTCGATACTCATTTCTTTGAAGCAATATTCATGTCCACAGTATACAGAAATTGTTCTTCTTTTTGTAAAAAGGAACTCTGCAAACATACATATATGCAACAATAAAAGAATAGTTTCGAATATTTCTCGATGCTCTGCATGTACTTCTAAACTCTACATGTGGAATTTCACGATATTCTTTATTAAATCGGTCTTCAGGAATCGAGTAAATACATAGTGAAAATTATTGAAACAAGGATGAAACTCGAGAAGGGAATCTTTAAGAATGCGTACCAAAGAAGAATTCCATCCTTGACCTTCTCGTAGAGGGCCTTCCCTTCCGGATCGATGGGCAGCAGGTGTTTCAGATCAGGATCGTGTGACAGATTCGTGTTGATCCAATCGCTGAAAGCTAACTGTTCCTCCAAACGGACCGAGTGCGTGGTGCCTTCGCTGGACGCCTCGGAGATGCCGCCCAAGGTCTCAAGGTTCTCCTTCTTGGACACGACCTGCTTGAACGTGGACCCAAGCTCGTTCGCTTTCAGCTCTTTGCATAGCTTTTCGAACTCCTCGAACGACAGCCTGCCCTTGTGCTCAGATCTTTGCTTGTCGTCGTATTCTTCGATCATCTGGCGCACTTTGTAGCCGGGCATCTTGAACCCGCAAATGTCCAAGGCGCTGCGCAGCTCGGTAAGGTTGATGAAACCGTCCCCATTTTCATCGATCTAACGAAAAAAGCCTCCATCAGTAACAATTTCCTGCTTGGGGAGCAAACTCAATTTCACGAGTCTGGGACTCGGGATATTGAATCTTAAATAGTACGTCTTGGGAATGCTGTTAGTGAATATTAGTAGTTAGAGGAGAAAACAGAATTTCTTGGCTGAGGCCAAGAGGTTTTATGACGAATTGAAATTTTATTGAATATCTTTTAATAAAGTAATTTTGAATTTGAAATTTACAAATTACCCACGATCGAAGCGCTGCATTTTGCCGGGTCAACGCGCCGTTTGCTACTCCCGGTATTTCGAGCGAATTTGAATGAAATTTGAAGTTTATTTGAAATTGATATTTCGTGAAAATGGCGAGTATATCGCATACGTTCAAACGAATTAAATTTTATCAGTGCACGTTCTTCATATATCGAACGATGATAGCCACGGAATAGAATAGAATAGAGGCCGACCGGATTTTAAGAATGCAATCGTAATCACGGCCGCGGCAATTTCCACGAGAACAATAGAGGTAGACGAGTCGCTTTGAGATCGTCATAGACGGAACTTTCTTGGAAAAAAGACTACCATTCGGGGTTAATCGACAGTTCTTTATTCCGGGGAAAGCGTGTTGTGCTCGACTAATTAGCATCCAATTCCTTTGCCAGTGAACCGTTCCGCTACGTAATTACCAACGATAATTGTTTCCGTCTTATCGTCACGAAGTCGTTCGCCACTTTTCTGCCACTGTGTACTTCAGCGTTTCAACAAACAGTAAGTCTCTAATCTGACAATAGATCACACCCTAGAATCGTGCGTTTTCTAAATCAATGAACGTAAGTCATGTTGCTCTCTTTATTTGCATTTGGAGTGAATTCCGCAACTACACGTGGTATCGACGATTCATAACAAATATTATTTATTTAACAATATGGTTTATGTTATTTATTGTATAATACTAATATAATTCACTTTAAAATAGTGAAATATTAAAATAACAACAGATCATTCATAAAAAATTTGCATTTTTTCTGGTTCTGAAGCAAGGTCAAACAGGACATACGTTCATATGAACTTTTTTCATTCCTTTTATGTTCCGTGCCCACCATCTTGTTACTGGCCTCAATGACGTATACAATTATTTAGAATCCCGTCCTATCGCGAATTGATATACTCGTATCGGCTCGATATCTAAATGTATCGGCAGCATCAAACAACTTTCACTGCAATTCCCAGAGACCGCGTTAAATTTGTCCAGAAATTTTCCTTTAACGTCGAGAAACGATGTCGAGTGATCGCCTGTCTTTACGAACGGACAAAAACGATCTAGTTTCCCGTGTCCTTCAGGGGATCAATATTCTACTGGGACACTGGATCGTTAGTTTTCACGCCCAACGATCGATCGCGGTCGAGTGTGCTTACGTAAACGATAAAACTGGTCGCGAGAGCGATGAAACAATCGCGTCTTACTAATTTGAAGAAATTCGGAAAATCCTTGCTGTACTCGTCAATCACGTTCCACTTTGGAATTTTGCGGATCTCCATGGCGATTGGGTCGAAAATTGACGTCGCGGGAAAAGCAACTTTCGGATCCGCGGCCGGACGCGTCGGCAAGACTGAGCTTGCGCCAGTAGCGTTATCAACATTATCAATTGGTTCGATAACGGAGGACCGAGGGAACAAAAAAAAGAATCAGTCGGTTTATCGGCAACGTGATATAATACCGAGACCGATAATCTTTATGATTGATTGGCTTTTAATTATTTAAATCGCGTTTTCCGGTGCGCGCACGTGGTGATAGTTAACTGTCAGGACTTTCGCTGAGTTAACTACGAGAGTTAACCCGTTAATTCGTCTTACAGAATTATTGCTGGTTTCGTCCCGGGAATTATCAATCGCGACAAGAAAAGGAGTGTACTGCTAAGTTGATGAAAAATGAACGACCGCATGAAACTTGCTCGGATGTTACATACTCGCGTTATTAGAGACGAGCGCAATCAGATTCTTTGACCACCTTTCTATTCGATTTCTGATAAAACGTTCATTTCAATTCCGTTGAAGAAAGGTTGGTTTATTATTATTTTTTCCATTGAATTTGGTTAAATTCTGACGTAAAGTTGTAACAGAATTTTTGTATGGTCATTATTGTGGATCTTATTTCATTGGATAAATGGAATAAAACTCTGTACGGAAGAGGACAATTTTTATTCAGTTTGCGCTTCTGCGAAGAAGGAAACTAAAGAGAAAAATGTAAATTTGTGTGTTTACTATAGAACATCGTTTACTGAAACATTCGTGCGTAAATACCGCCAACGGAACGAGGAAAATAAACAGTAATATATTTACATTTATAAGGAAAAATGTCGAAACAGCCCGAATGATTCAGAAACCGTGTGTAAAACGATTACGAAAATATAAATTCTCAGATTAACTTAATCTTCTGTTTTCATTGCGCGTTGTCCGCCTGTAAGCGAGCTTCGAGACTATCGCAACACGCCTAAATCACATTGTGACAATGTTTTACAATGCAAATAATTCCTAAATGAACGAACTAAAACTGAAAACACACTTGTTTAACTTATCAGAGGGTTTAATTAATTTACTCTTGATACAGGAAGTAAAATTCCATTTAATTAAAATGAAACCGTGAGTCATATGAATATCTAGGTAGATATCCTCGAATAAAGAAAGAAATATATTCCATATAAAAATTCTTGAATCAAGACAAGGCTGAACCGACCAGAATGCAATGAATCTGCATTCTAACAATTACAAGTGCTAAAGTATTAAACCTTCGCCGAGCCAGAGGACAGAATCGGTCAAATTGAATGAATGAACCAAGGTGACGTGTGTGCCGCATGCAAACGTGCGTGAGGCGCCAAACAATTTATGCAGTTAAAGCGTGCGTTCGATTAAATGATACGAGGCACAGTGACGATGACTTAATCCCGCGCTATTTCGTTCGAAATACCGGGAGTAGCAAACGCGGCGCGTTGACCTGGCAAAATGCAGCGCTTCGATCGTGGGTAATTTGTAACCGGGTCAACGTAAGCACACCTTTCCAACTGGCATTGCACCTAGACGAGCACCGGTAACAGGCCTCGCGTTTGCGAGTCCACGCTTCAATTGCTCCGCCATTCGAATCTTTCATTTATACTTCATCCAATATACACATAATTGAAATTTCAAATCGATTAAAAATTTCGTGGAATTTCAAGTTCGGAGTTCATCAAATGTTTGTTATTGCATTAGATTATTACTCTTTGAAATTAACTGAGTATAATTACACCCGCCGATACACCTAACACTTATTTACGTAAGAAACGTATTATTTACTTCGAAATCATAGCGTTCTTCAAACATTTGAACGATAATGTACCTGCATGTAATCTTGCTTCATCGAATAAAACTCATATCGATGCAACACAATGTTAATTCCTATTAATTAGTAGAGGGATTCAAGACTTTCAGAGAAAAAAATCCCAAGGGGACGAAGTTTCACGGAGGAAACATTGTCTGCTATGTGTTTCCAGGGCGTATCATTGGTGCAGCGAACCAGATCGCGACCCATGTCAAGCCTGGAACGTTTAAGGGCTGATGACAGCGTTCATAACACGGCGAACGCTCCGCGAGGGGTAGCAAACGATTGCACAGAAAATAGTGTATTACACGCACGCACGATTGTGCAACAACGCGTTTGCTCGGCAGCTTGAAAAACGCTTCACGCCAGTCGTTCCTCGCTTTCGCGGGATTCCACGGGCCGCGAGCACGATCGCAATCCACCGGATTACATCGCGGGCGCCGGTGGAAGCGCATTTTTGCATACGAAACGCGTTGCTCCGCGCTCGCTGGAATCCGGAAAGGCGACGGGACCAGTTGCGAATGAATCAATCGCAGCGACCCGGGAATTGCTCGTCGTTTCGCATCGGGGACCACGATCTTCCTGTTCCTCCGGCTGGAATGGTGCATAGCGGGTGAAGAATCAAGGGAACCTTGATAATTTCGCATTCGAAGTCGTTTGTGACGGTAGATCTCATCCGTTAGGAAATCTCACGATCTTACATATTGCTATCGAAGAAATTTACATGGAGGAATATTTGATAGGTATCTTCATCTCATCGGTTATCTTTCACATGGATCAAATTAGTTAAGAATAAAACTGGTAGTAGGATTGCTGTTAAAAACGGTTAAAAATAAAGTTACAATAGTAGACTTCTCGTAACGATTATGCAATTTAAACTTACTTCTTTGAGAAACTTCAACTTGAAATCTGTAACGCGGTTATTGATAATTTAGTGTAACAGAATATTAAGTGTAATAGAATGGCCACTGTGACAACGAGAATAGCGGCATAGGCTACTGTGAAAATAGGCCTTGATCCAATCGTCTTGCGATTAATTTTCATTGCAGAACAATAGCGGCTCATGGCATTTCTACTGCTCCCAGAGCGCAGTTAATTTGAAAGAGCCGAACGGCGCGTTTGTAAATATGCGACTACGTGCTATTCATTGGCCAGTGGTATTTCGTTCCACTCGAGGCGAAAAGGTTTTGTGCGGTTCCACGGGAACCGAAGGAAATGACTGCTACCACACCGCGCTCTGTAATAACTTTCTCGACTTTTTTTCGCGACCGAGGCACACCGTGATCTCATACACCTGGAATTACAAAGGCAACCTCAGCTGCGAACCGGTGCAACCTTTACCAGAACTGATTCTTGGCTGGCGTTACGATTCGAACGTTCCAACACCGGGACACTCGTTCCCATCGAATCCCATTGAACGCAGATAATCACCGTATAAGATTGGAATCGTACACTTAAAGGCGGCCGTTCTATACGAATGCATGTTAAACATTAAATAATATCTACATTACGATATTTTACTATATAAGCAGACTGTGTAACAAAAGATTCATTTACATTGCAGTCTCCTCTATCTTCATTTCCAATGGAAATGTTTAGGTGTTTTGTTTTCCATAACTCACCCTGTATAGCACCTTGAGCTTGAATAACGATA